ATGATTAATTTATGTGTTGAAGTGAAAGTACCGAGCCTTTTCGACGGAAAAATTAAACTTAGTCTAAAGGATTTAATCTAGTCGCTCGTTTCGATCAGTCGATTTAGAAATTCAGATAAAATTGCGAAGAGAGGGCACCTTTTTTCCTTGCGAAGGTCCCCATAAAATCTGGTGCATGATGGTGACGAGTCTGTACATAAGGCGTGAGCAGTTTAACGATAGAAAAGGGCAGAAGCTTAATGAGAACAATTTATTGTTTCTTTTGGTAAGATGTCTATTGGAAGAGGCTATGTCGACTCATAAAATCGGGTGAAATGATAATTAAAATGCACGGATGTGTTTTCTCGTCATTTAGAGGTCCCCACATGGTGGGTTATATCCATGGCAAAATATTTAATTAATTGCGAAAATAGTATGACCAAATAGACTTGACGATGTTTCCAAACCATGGACTTGAGAGGTAAAATTTCGCTGAGGGGAGCGAAGAAAGTTCCATGAAATTGTGTGGCAGAAAGACAGCAACAGATTCGACATTAAAAATTGGCGGGTAATAATTAATAACACACGCAAAAAAATAAAACAGTGCTAAGTGGCTCAAGAACACAAAATTGCTCAAGACGGCGTAAGTTAAATTGCTTCGTTAATAGGATTAACGTATGAATTTAGGCGATGAAATCTTGCTGGAAACTGGTGCTAATCAAATACAAGGGGTAACTTTTTTCGTAGAGATACAGCGCCATAGTAAGAGTCCCCATGTGCTCTGCAAACAAAATTTCCCGCGCAATCCTGTAATCTATTACTGTGCTGATCAGTTTATGTGATGAAGTACAACTGCATATCGAGCCTTTTAATCGGTCTGTACACAAAATCGTTTGTCATGCTGTTACTGGTTGTTCGTTGTTGTTATTGTCATGATGAAATTATAGGATAAATTTGAAGCTATCGAATTCTTTTTTTTTCAAATAATGAACTTAATTTAACAGAATTTGCCGTACAGAAAGTTACTTAGTTGGTCGAGTAAGAAATTTGGGTAAAATTGAGACGAAAAGACGGATTTATCTATTTGAGAAGGTCCCCGTTCTTAATCACCGATCACTCGGCAAAAAGTGTAAATACGATGATCACAATGTTTACCAAATATAAATTTAAGGGTTAAAACTTTGCTAAGGAGAGCGAGAGCATTTCGATGGAATCGTGTGGGGGAAAGTGACCAAGAAATTTGACAGGGAATAAATTGGCGGGAAATTATTGAGGGGCCAAAAATTGATCTGTACAAATCGGCCCAAGGACGCAAAATTTCTCAAGACGGCGTAAGTAAAACGTTCCTTTGATGTGATTTATTTGTGAATTAAGTTAATGAAGCCTTGCTGGAAAACGGGCGCCAATCGGGGTAATCTTTTTGTGGATATAGCGCCATAGTAATTCACAGAGTCCCCTCATAATCTAAAAATAAAATTACCCGCGTTATCTTATCACCTTTTACTATGATTATGAATTTATGCGATGAAGTGCAGCTTTGTAGAACACTGAAGTTTATTTAAAAAAGTTGTCTGTTGTGTTCGAGTGAAAAAAGGGCTCAAACAACTTGCCATCTTTTAGGAAAAGCAAAGGAACGGTAAATTCATTGGACAAATGTTTGCTACTTTTTTTTTTTTTTAATTGGAAAAATTTACAAAATGTACGTGAATAGGGCGTTTGTTGTCTTTTGCCCGGCCCGCGAGAAAGAAACGTCTGCTGCTATTTGCTAAGGGAAGGTCAGAATCATGCGGATCACAGTAGAGATTTTGTCACTACCGGGAAAGATTCATGAAAATGTTGCAACATTTTCATATATGATTTTAAAGTTGGCGTAAGCCCGTTTTTGGAGATTTTTGGAGGAAAAGGGCGGCCTTTTCAGATTTAAGAAATCAAAAGAATGCGTCCTTCGGAATACTCCACAGCTTAAAAAATGGTGTAAATTTATTGATCTTAAAAATTTTGTGGTTATGTATTTTTTATCAGTTTGTTTATTTATTTGGTAGCAGTCCTTTACAACAAAGAATGACCGATGGAGGTACATCGGTTTTGTCAGACTCTCAGATCCCCAACTAAAGGCAATTCAATGTACTTTACAGCTACCCCGCATATAGGTGACATGGAACTGCAACAAAACTCCTTCTTCCTCTTAGTCCAAGATCATTAGACTACAATCCCTTTCAGACTCTATTTTATGCTAAACTTCCTCGTACATCTTATTGTGTCCAGGGAAAAACTGTTCGACTAAAATCGTAGCCAAAGGTAATATGTGTGACACAGATAGAGCAAACAAAAGAGAACAATACCAAAAAAACAATATTATTAGAATGGTTTAGACGAAGAGGGTCAGCTTTAGAAAATTGGAACGCTTTGGAAATTACTAATAGACCATGGAAAGGCAATTACATTACTTTTCTTGCTAGCTTAAAAAATAGGCAGTCTAACCTTGCATGTGGCCACTGATATAGTATGACTTTTATAACATTGAAGATAACTAGGGGTTGTATCATGATGCTAGAAGGTAGTGTTGCAGAAAATTTCCATTCACATGTAAAACAGTAAACTGCCGTAACCCACGTATCTATGAGTACCCTGTTTGTGGAGAGAAAGATGATTCGCGAATATAGTGATTGACTGACATTCAGGCAATAACTAAATGGTAACAAATAATCATAATAAAGATAATAATAATGGTAAATTTATAGGGGCTAGCTCGAGAACCTAACTGTTCTATCTCTAACCCTTTAACTCCCAGAAGTGATCAACATGAAATTTCTCCCGATAATGTCCTTATATTATCTTGCAAACAGCTAATGAGAATATTCAAACTTATCAGGTAGAAGTTGTTGTCCTGATCTAACACCAAATTCTCACAACTAATTTGCAAGGATATGTGTAGCAGCTAGAAGGGAGAATTACCAATCAGATCTTGGGAGTTAAGGGGTTAAGGCTAAGAGTGATTAACTCATTTACAGCTACTCACTCATTTCGATAATATATGTGGCTTTGCCTCCCACAGGAGGAAGTAGCCACAAAAAGGGAAGCAAAATGATCAACGGATTTGGTATAATTTTGTTTTAAGGGTGAGGTGTGTTCCAACAGAGAAGTTTTCAAAGGGTGATCTCCCTCTTCAATATAAAGGGGAACTTGTCTCAGAGGATGAAGGTTATCAAAGAGAAGATTTGCATGTGGAAGAACTAAGAAGCTTTCTCTTCTTTTTTAAGGATGGATTCAAGTGTTTACGGTAAGTTATTTTAATTATAATACAGTAAAACATCACTAACCGTAAGCGCCAAGTTAAACAAAAAAGATTTTAAGGTAGTGGGGGAGGCTGTCCTAAGACTACTGTACACAAATCGACCTGAATGAATTCAAAATAGGCTTCATGAGATTGTTAATCACTGATACTGAAATACATACTATTTTGTGTGTAATGTGCTTCATGATTTGTCATCATTTGCATATTACTCCAAATGAAATAAAATTACCATCAAAATATATGGTACTTTTTTTGCACTTTTTTGGCTTTATCATGAGTTGCATGTAAGTTTCATTGTAAATAAAGTAGTTGTGTAATTTTAGATGGGCTTGGTCTGCGCCACACAACCGAAGGAAGAACTGAAACTAAGTCATCAAACCTTACACTACACTTTTACAAGGAACAAATTGAGATTGCTTTTTTCCAATTATGACTTTGATTTTTGTGGATTTTCTAGCCTTGATGCAACATTCTCTGCTGGACTTGGAAGACTTAAAAACGATAATCCATTAAATAAAGCAAATGAGAAAGATTAACGGTGAAGACAAAGTGTGCCTTGCCCTTTGTGGACTTCGGAACGGTGAAGGTCTACACTGTGACCATGAAGTTAGAGATCTTCCCAGGCGACAGCTAAAAGGTATTGCAACCTAACCATTAATAACCTGTTTTGGGAGACTTGTGTCATACTTAACAGAACTGCAGCAACTCTTTTCTTTGCTTGTGTTTCAGTGTAATGGACCCCATAAGCTATCAGGGTGTTTGCCCCATCTCTTCTAAAGATCATTTCGTTTTTTTTTTTTTGTTTTGTTTTGTTTTGTTTTGTTTTTTTAGGGGAACATTCATAGCCCTTAGGATAAAAAATTATAACATTTAATTCTCCATTCCAGAATTAGATTTACTCAAATGCAAACCGTTTCAGTCCTGTTATGATTACGTATATTAATCTCTCTTAACATGAATATTGCAAATACCATACAATCTGTCTAGATATCATGACAACTCATACCGTCCTTGGTCAAAACAATCTAAAAATTATTTTTTTAATAATACTTCAAATGATGACGACAATGATTATGATGATGGCTCCAATTATTCATTCCTGGTTTCACACAAATTAGCAAAACTCTACACATTTCTTTTTCTTAACCACTTAGGTAATGAGAGCAAGGCAGATGGACTAAAGAATGGGACAGTAAGGTGCAACACAAAAAAGAAGAAAATATGAACAAGGGCAACAGCAGTCCTGACAATGATGAAAGTTTCCACATGGATGTAACAACAAATTCTGAAGAGATTTACTCCCTGAATCAGATCAATGACTGTCTATTTGCAGACTCCTTGGAAACTGGTATGTACATACACACACCCTCTATTATATAAACTGCAGATGTCCCTTACACTCTAAGCCAATCAGTTCTTAGGGCTCTTTGGAAAATGAAAGATATTTTTTGCTGTTACAGAAGTAGTTTTCCAATATTAAATCCCCACTGAGTTTTTTGCAAGTGGCTTTTGCCATTTCAAATGTCTTCATAAATATCATTATACATTCTCTTCCAACGTCAAAGGTAAGTTGCAACCAAACAAAAGCCTTAAAAATCATAAAAACAATGAACTATTACTACCACGGCTAAAAGTAAAACAATGGTGTAAGAAAAGTGCAAGAAAAGGGGAGGAGTAAAAGTGAAAGGTGTAAGACTGCTTTTTGTGCATAACCAAACTGCGGAAGCTTATGATTTGCATCTGAAAGAACAGTATCTATAAATGGTGTTTTGGACAGTTTTCGCTCTTCAGACCCTCAAAGTGACTAAAAGAAACGGTTTGAATAGCTTCGAAAGACATTCTCAGACAAAACTCCCAGGAACTAATGCGTCAAAAGATGGTGGTTTTGCCATAGAAGAGTTAAAGTTATTAAATGAAGTTTGGCTCTACTAAGAAATAATGATTATCATATATTCAAACTAAGTATCACAAAACAAGAGAAAGACTGTTACATTCCTTTTTCTTAACCATGTAGTTAATGAAGGTAAGATGCCAGTAAAAGATGGCAAAGTTGAGAGTAAGGTGCAACGCAACAAAGAACAAAATATGAACGAGAGCAACAACATGGCTGATGTTGATGAACAATTCCAGATAAATATCAAAACAACTAAGGATGTTTACTCCATGAATCAGAATAACTAAATATCTGCAAACTCCTTGCAGCAATGTCACGAGTGGAAACTTGGGTTGTGTGATAAGGAATGCTGGGTAAACGATGAAGCGAATTACAAAGCAATCGAATAATTAGAATCTCTGCCTTTCAATTTGGCTTAATTTAAAGGTAGTCACTAAATTTATATTGATAGCCACATATAAAGCAATTACCTGACATATTTTGAAGGAAAAGGAACTTGTTATGCTGAAATAAGCGACCACTTGCCACACAGGTCTATCAGAGAGTAATCATTTTACGAAATGGCATTGTAAGGGAGATACAAACTGGAAAGAAACATCAAACTAGTACAATAACACAATTAGTGATCAATCTTAAACTACTCAGATTTATTTTATTGACTGGTTGGATTGTTTTAATTTGGAGTGATTTTTGTCTGGCCCGTATCTTGAACAATATGATCATCTCTTAATCTGGCCATTCAGAATTTCTGTAAGGGGTGGTTTCCAAATCCTTTTTCGGGCTGAGTTCTTCAAAGCCAGGTTTAGATAATCCAGGCTTAGTGTGAAATCTGGTTCCAGATCTGAAAGCTTTAAATGAAAATTCAATACAATTCTTTTTGTCTCCAATTTAAAAATTGGATGCTATGAAAAGAAAAGAGAAGGTTATCCAAAAAAGGCTTTTGAAAGAAGGAATAAAGAAGCTTGGATAAAAATTTGACCCTGGGTTAATGCTTATTGGCCTTTGAACAACTGGGCCCAGGAATCTCTCATCAACTTCTTTTTTTTCCCACTGGGGCATATATATTTATAATGCTTTCCTAGCTTAGAAGTTTCAAATTATAGTAATTAAGAGTAGTAATAGAAAGTCAGTATAGCGCCAACCAATAAGAATCAAGTATATAGCCCATGTGACCGATATGGACCAATCAGGAAGCCGCGTTGAAAAATGACGTCACGAGCTGCCTAGAGGTCCTGGTACCGAGTGAAAAGAGCGCGCGCGTGTGGGTGTGGAATGGGTTTGCAAGCGCGAGGAGATAGGAATCTGTTACTCGTGGGTAAATAGATTTTTTGATAGATAAGAAGTGTTCTCCCCTCGCTAAAAAATGTTCTTGAATGAAAACAGACTTGTTTTGAATGAAACTTTGTTTATTTAACTCAACAGTTTAAGGTTTACAGTTTCATTGCTGGAAAAAAGTAGAAACGGCGGCTTCATGGCTTCGTTTCACTGTTTGAATAAAAAATAAATCCGTCCGTTAAAATATGCGTACGGAAAAAAATATTTTCATCGCATTGAAAGTAAATCTTACCCGTTCAGGAGATTGCTCAGTTAATACGACCGAATAGAACTCTTGGGTGATCATTTCTGTGTCGATGTCACTTCCAGTTACTAAAAAAGAAAAGTTTGAGGTCAAAATTATGCGGCGTGTTGTTTTCAAACAGCAATGTATTGTCTTACCTTGAGTATGTTCATCCTTAAGAATACAACGTCGCGCTGTCTGGAAAACGCGTCGCAAAAGGAGCCATAATGCCAGCCAGAATAATACCATAGCTACTGGTACAATTATACAAACGACTACTAATTTTGTGTGTTCCATAACGCGGACCACGAGGTTTACACGGTTGAGTGAAAAGCTTTATGGTAGACCGTACTCTACGCATGCGTTCAGGGATAAATTTACCACTAGGATCGTGTTGCATAAAACGTGACATTAATTAATTCCAAAAAAAGTGTTTGCGTTATGGATTAGGATCTAATAGAAGTAATCCCTATCTCTATTGGATCTCCAATCCTTTTCGTATTTAAAGTGTTGTTTTAAATTAAGTATGGCTTAGGAACAGCAATGTAGTTTCGCGCGCTCTCCGAGAATGTGTTTGAGAGAATTTTACCATTAGGATTATATGCTGTAAACGTGACATTATTTAATTAATTCCATAAAGTGTGTACTGTACGAGTCCTTCTTCAAAGGCTCTTATGATGTTCTTTTGTCCAACGGGGAAGGTACTCTGGGGGTTTTCCAACTTGAGATGATAAGACGTACGTTTGATGCCGTAACTCTTTGCCGTCTTCTCTCTGAACGGAACTCGTTTAAAATTGAAAAATCCTTCACTCCCGCCAGCACCACCCCCGCGTTGTTGTTGTTGTTGTTCGGTAGTTTCTACCGCTTGCAATAAATCTTCATCCGAGATATAATCTCTTTCTAAAACTTCATCTGGAACATACTCCATGTTTGATCTGAAGCGAACTACTTCGTCTGACAGTACAAAAATTATAGCAACGGTAAAAAAGCATAGCGTCAGTATTGCGCGCTTAGCATAACGACAGATATTCCTCATTCAGTAATTTTCCGATCACGCGTACGGAAAAAAGCAAGCGCGCGCAGTACGAACGAAAAAAACAAGAATTGGAAAAAAATGATGATTTTATTTCCTCCTTTTTCGAGTGGCAGCTCCTAGAGCTTTTTTAACACCAAAGGCTGCACCTCCACTGAGAGCCCCTAATCCAAGGGCTTTTCCACCAGCAATCAGTGCAGGAAGAAGTGCTGCTAAGGGTAAAATTCCTCCTTTTTGTCTAATTCGTCTTCGTCTTCTTCGTCCTCTCCATCGGGTTTTTCTTCGAACCATAATATCTCTGATTTTTTTGTTCACGAGTATATCTTGAGTGAATAATAATGAGGAAGGTGGATGCGCGTTGTTTATATAGCGAATCGACACAGAGGCTTATTTACAATTTGAGTTTTCTTTTAGCAGCGATAATATGCCTTGATACCTTTTCCAGGAGTGATTTTCTACCGGGAAGTGCATCGATGGCATTCACCATTTTTTGATCCGCTTTCCATTTGTCGCGTATGTTGCTGGCATTGGAATAATCTATATCGTGCTGTTTGGCAATTCGGTCCAAACGATTGATACCAGGATCACCGCGTGCGAGTCGTTTTTTTAGAAATGTTCCAGGGCCCAGGTATTGATATCTCTTCAGTTTCGAGAGTGAAAAAGGATGGAATTCAATTCCTAATTTTTCGATTTTTTTCTGTATGTCAAATTTCCCTCCTCTCTGTCTTCTTTTCGTCGATTTACGCATATCGTATCGTTTTCTAGCCATGATTCTTCTTCTTCTTCTTTTTTTTTTCTTTGAATGACGCGCGGCGTGTTGTCGTTTTCTGGCCATGATAGAAGTGTGACTATTTGTCGAAACGAGTAAGGATGTCGTTTATATACTGTTCAATCATCAAAGTCAGCTATTCGTGGACGCGATTATGTAAATAGTTTATTACTTTGTCAAATAGTTATAGGTACAACAAGAAATCTTGATACGTTATAAAAATTTTAAGTTCCCTCAGCACTTTAGCTATCATCAAACGATAATTGTTTGGCAGCGGAACCTAGTTCACGTTTCCGTTTTTTCTTCTTTTTCCCAGAAGGATCCCAACTTGTCCATCCTTCAGCGGGTTTTAACCGTTTCACCTCTTGGGGTGTTTTTTGTGTATATTTAGCAGATATTTGTCGCACTTTTCTCAAACTTTTTCGAAGAGTATCTTCTACATCTAATTCAGGTTCTCTTTTAGCATATGGCAATTCATCCCACGGCACGCTATCGCTCGATTTCTTGATGGGAATTCTCGTCTTTTTTAAACGAGGTGTTGTCACGCTTTTGCTCGGTTTCTTGATGGGAATTCTCGTCTTTTTTAAACGAGGTGTTATCACCGGTTCTCTTTTGGGTGCTCTTTTGGGGGTGACTTCACTCAAAATCCGTTTCAACAATTTCTGTTGTACGGGAGTCACCAAATCTTCTTCTTCGTCTTTTAAGGCGTCGGCCAACTTGGCAGGATCCGCACCCGCCGAGAATGCAGCTGGGAATTGCCTCATTTTCTTCACGTATAGTTCTATTTCCGGATCGAGCTGTTTAATGGTCTGCTTTTTGAAAGCGGTACTCGTATTAGGATTGTTTAAAATTTCCATTTTACGAGTCAGAAGTTTGGCCGCTGTATCCAAGGTAGGATCGCTGGTCAATCGTCCTTTGAAAAGATTCACCAACGCCGGGTCTTCGGCGGGAACCATGTACATTTTCTGATACGCCATAGGTTTCTCTGTCTAGGGACAACACGTCTTGACGACTGTGGTTAGACCATGCCACAATTTTCCACCTTTCTGCTGAATCAAGGCTTGTCTTCTCTTTTTAAGCGATACGGCTCGATTTCCAATTTGTCTCAGGATGTGTTTATAAGGTCTTAATCGAGCCATGGTGACAGGTGAGACGGGTACGTTGTTTTTGAGTAAATTCATCACGATTTCGCTGATGGCGTTGATTTGATCTTTGTTGGCGTGTTTGATCAGATCTTTTCTTGCGTTTCTATAAGCCGCTGCCGTAATAGCTTTTAAAAACGTTTTCTGTCTACGTATTCTTTCCATGGTTTTTTTCAATGTGTGGACTTTATCTTCCTTGCCTTTTTTATATAGGCGTAGCTCGTTTCCTCTTCCGCCTCTTGCCACCGCCGCCGTCGTCTGTCTGCACGCAGACGGGTGGGGTGATGCCGCCTTTGCGATACACGGTCGTATATCCTTCACCTTTCAAGAGATTGGATTTTAATCGATCCTCATCGGAAGAATTTGGGTGTAGATCAAACAACAAATACCCGTAGGGTCTTTCTGTAGCATCTCTGTACACACCCATGACCTCTTTCAAATCTTGTGGAAAAGCTTGTTGCGTCAGATGACGCACAGCCAATTGATCGCGAGGATTCTTGAAAGCTACAATGTAATGCGCATTTCTAGAAATGGTTTTGGCGTGTTTTCCTTTAGGAAACATGTCCTGAGTCATATACACCACGTTGATACCTTTATGATGCGATTCTCGGGTAAAGAGAGGTATCCTTCGCGCATAAGATCGTCCAATATTAAAATTCCACCCCTAGCATTCTTGTACCATGTGTCTAATAATGGGGTATCTGGAATGCCTTCGTGGAAACGGATGCCTTGTTCTTTTTTCATTCTTTCAAATGTCGTCGGTTGGTTAGCACCGTAACAATAAACAACTGGATTATAAGGAGGTGAAAACAACTGACTACGTTCCTTCATGAGGTTTTCCACAAACACGGTTTTTCCGCAACTGGATGGTCCTACCACCATGATACTACAGGGACTTTGAAACTGGAACGGTGTACACCACATCATGACAAAATACTAATGAAAAAACATTGTTTTTTATTTATATACATAGTCATGTCACAAAAGTTTTAAGTATCCAAGTCACAGGTTTTTTCATTGCTTTGTGCTTTTCGTTTCAGAGTATGGACTCGCCACCCTAACAAAGGTCGGATCATTTCACCTACCAAATGATCGTTGTAGACGT